CTATGCCAGGGCAAGAAATGTAAAATCTGCCGACAAATCTCCACCACCCCTACAATTACAACATCCCACAACAGAACCATCAACATTCCTGGATCTTACACCAACTCTCCTGTGTCTCATTCTTTGACTACAGCTACATTTGTTCCCCCCTTCCCAACTCCTCCCCACATCTGTCTCTCACCTACTGACCACTTCAATTCACATTTTAACTGACTGGCTTTCTTGCATAGGTACTGGCCTCTGACTGCTTTACCACTCCAGAAAGAGCACAGACCATCTGCAGATGCTTCCTCAGCCTGATGAAGGGAGTTTGTGCCCAAAAGTTTGCCAAGAAGAATTTTTCCATTTGAGTTGGTCTAATAAAAGATACTGTATTTACCCAAAGAATATTGTCTGCCTATGTGCTTAGACCAACACAGCTACAACCTACCACCCCTGATTCCTTGGGTAAAATACTTTTGCCACCTGGGGGGGAAGGGAGAGGAGAGGAGAGGGGACCACACTTACTTTAATAGTCTCCATGTTCCTAAAATCCATCAGTTCTATACTACTTTTTGATATACAAAATCTTTGTCCATCCCGCTTTACTCCCTGTTAGTCATTTTACACCCATCATTGCTTCTTCCTTCTGGTAACTCGGACATATTCCATCTGCTTCATCCCTTGGTGGTGGTAGGAAGTGCCCTATAACCTCTGCTGCTGGTGCTGGAATCTGGTTAATGGTTTGCTGGGGAGCTGTTTTTTAAGTGAACGGCAGATTGCTCAGTCTCACCTCTGGAGGGGATGAAAAAACAAGCAGAGATGGCCAAAGAGTTCATGGTTCATAAAAACGGGCCTTATTATCAAAAGGCTTACCTGAGCATGTTCTGGTTCGGTGGTGCTCAAGCTTTTGGCCCCATAGGCCAGGGGAGTGGGGCAGGGCAGGTCTGCAGTCTGGATTGAGCCCTGTGCACCAGCATTGGGCCCTAAAACGGCTCCATCTGGCCCCATGCACCAGGATCAAGCCTTGCACCAGCCCTGCATGCAGGGATCAAGCCTCACACAGCCCCTGCCCGACCCTGCACCCTGTCTTGGCACCATGCCCTGGGATCAGAATCAGGACCCCACATCACCCCTGCCTGGCTCTGTGTTCCAGGATCAGGCCCTGGGGCCTGGTGCTACCCCCTGAGTGCTAGGATTGGGTTTGCACTGACCCCCCTGTTCCCGTTGATTTGACTTGTGGTTAGGAGTGAGATTAATTGATCAGTGAGACCATTCCAGTCACAGTTCGAAAGCTTTATTAAGATACACAATAGCAAAGACTTTTTGGTACTAATAAAGGTAATGCTTACATAGTCTTGGCTTCAGGAAGAACAGGTCTTTTGGCCAGGCATCTGCTTTTCTGGGGACTCTTGCTGAGTTGTTTTTTTCTGCTGGGCTTCGGGAAAGGTCCAGTGCATCACTGGTCCCATGTTCAATATTTACAGATGGTTGATTTGACATGCTAATAATTAATATCTGATTGTTTTTATTTAAATGTCTTTGTTTCACTGGAACTTTTGGAACTGGGTGGAACAAGATTTTAGTGGCCCTGGGGAAGGTGTCAAGGGTTCAATCACCTTAGCTAAGGCTCTTTATTTTTAGGTCATCTGACCCTGGTCTGTTAATCATCTAGTTTTCTTTAATCAAGATTTTGTTAATCAGTTGAAATGTATATTTTCCGAGAGAGCAGAACAAAAGCATTCTTATCTCCTCTTATGGCTTGCCCTTTGGCCTTGATCAATTATTTACTAACTGTGGCCTGAAAAGGATGCTCTGCTTTTTCCATCCTCAAGGCTGCCTTTGTTTCTATAATCATTTGAACAAGTTAGCAAAGATACATTTATTATAGCAAAATAACTATTCATACAGTTGGTCACCTTAGCCATTATTGTTTTAGGATGCAATTGTAATACAGAGCACTTAGGATACAGGCCCTTGGCTTCATGTTCAGTCATATTTCTGCAGCTTTGACTTAGGTTTCCTGAAAATGGCTAAGTTTGACATCCACACTTTTCCTGCAATTTGGTTATGCTTTAGATAGCATATGTTTGATTCAGTTATAGTGCTGTTTGTCACCCATTGCTCATCCTGTACAGGCCTATGCATGGTCTACACCTAGGGTGACCACCTTTTCAAAATGGAAAGATATACCCACCTCCTTCACACACACCCCCTTGGCCACCAGCAGCACAGCTGGAGAAGAGCTGAGCAGAGTTGGGGTGGATGCGGGCTTGGGGCTCCTTGCCCTACTGCCTTTCGCTTGGGAGCTCTGCACTGGCTGCACACCCCCTGCCCACCTGGCAGCAGTGGGGGGGCACAACTCCACACTGTCACTACTCCTGCTGCTGTCAGGCAGGTGTGGAGCACCTCACCATGGCAGTCTGGCCAGTGCAGGGCTCCTAGGGGAGGGCAGCAAGGTGGGGAGCCCACATCTGTCCACACACAAATCTGGGGGGTGCATGCAGTGGCAGGGTGCTGCCCTTCTCCCCCTGCTCCCTGGACAAGCTGCCCATGGCTCTGTCCCACTCCATGCCCTGGCCTCAGGCTCCATGTACCACTCTGGCTGGGCAGCACCTCCAGCCCCTGCCCTACTCTCTCCTTCATCGTGTTGCACACACAGGGCATACAGTGTAAAATAAAAACAAGCAGGATGTTTATCAGGGGATAAAGCACAACACCACATTTATTACAAATAAAAACAAAAAGACAAAAGTAAAAAGTGGTGTCCCACATACTCACTTACATACACACCCAACCAACTGGTTGATATACATAGAGACAAACATATAGACAGTCCTGCAAGTATTAAGATGTTACCAGTCCTTAAGTTGCTCAAATTAGCTTGGTGGCCAGCCAAGCCAACTACAAGGGCAGAGCTAGGTCCTGTCGGATGCGTTCCAGTGCTCCTTCTTTTCATGCAAAATAGACCCAAAGCCTTCTTGTTCTTGTCTATCTTTATACAGGTTTTCCTCAATTTATGCGGTACATGCGTTCTCAGAGAATGGCGTATAAATGGAATTCGCGTAAAGTGAACCCAGTTTACAATGGAAAAGATAGGGATATGTTCCCAAGGTGGTGAGGGAGGGAGGGAGTAAGGCTGGGACTAGGGGAAGGGTGTGGTGCAGCCTGTTGGCAGCTCCTGGGGTTTCAGCAGGCAGCAAAGCAGTGGGAACTGTGAGTGAGTACAGGGCAAGGCGGGGGGCCATAGCTTTTGCTGCTGCGTGTCTCCTGGGAGAGCTGCAGGCTAGAGGGCTGCGCCAGGCTCTTCCTGGCGGGGGCATAGGCTCCCAGATCTGCACACAGGACGACAGCTGTCTGCTGCTACAGGCTGCAGCCAGCAGCAACACTGGGCTCTCCCCAGCACTCAGTGGGCAGGTTGGGGGGCTGTGGCGAATAGCACCGCTGTCTCATTCCTGCAAGCAAGGCTGAGGCTAGCAGCAGCACTGGGCTCTTCCCTGCACTCCAGGCAGGCGGTGGCGGCGGCACTGGGAGGGGGGCTGCTGCCACCTCAAAATTCTCCGTAGCCCCCCAACCTGCCTGCCAAGCACCAGGGAGAGCCCAGTAACACCACCAGCCCCAGCCTGTTGTGGAAGCCTGTTGTCATCCCACATGCAGATCCAGGGGCCCATGCCCCATGGGAAGAGCCTGGCACAAGCCGCAGCCCTCCCAGGGGGTGTGTAGCAACAAGAGCTGCACCCTGCCCCGCCTGCCCCCAGGTCTTGCGCCCCGCATCCCGCACCCACTCACAGTTTCTGCCACCTTGCAGCCCAGGGCCGCCTCTTCTCCCCGCTCACCCCAGTCCCTGCTGCAGCAGCTGCAGGAACAGCCGATGCCAGCTGCCTGTAGCCACTGGGTTGCACCGTTTCCCAAACCTCCAGGGGCTCTGCTTCTCCCCACTCACTCCAGCTGCTGCAGGAGACCTGGGAGCTGCTGACACCACCTGCCTACACCATGGCACGGCACAGCCCAGGGACTGGGGTGAGTGGGGACAAGCGGAGCCTCTATCACATAAAAGTGAATTTACCTCGCATATAAGAAAGTTTGGGTAGCAAAAGGGTGATCTCATACGAACAAATACACATATGTAGAACCCACATAAATCGAGGGAAACCTGTAGTGATTGCTCCCCATATAATTCTATGGGTCTTGCTGTGTCATGTCCCATTGATGATAAAATTATCTTCCTCTTCTGCTGCGATGTTATGATTGGCAGATACTTCTGGCTTTGTGGTTTGCAGTTTCTCCATTTGTTGTCTGCAATTCTTCAGCCATTGGAACAAAACATTATCTTTTATTTTGTAATCCTCAACTGCTGATCTTGGACATTGTTGTAATCTTTGGCTGTTAAACCACAAAAGGCTATTTCTACTTTTCTAGTCTGAGATACAAGATAGACTGTCTCAATATATATATTTCCACATATACTGTTTATTCTTTCATTACTTCTTTCCAAACATACCAGACATAACAGCTCTTGCATACACACCACTTCTCTTGTATTATATTTAACCAACTGTTACATTAATGATTATCTAATATAAAAGTTAAAATATTAACTAAAGGTAAGCTATATAGTTGTTTAAGCAAATTAAAATAGATATTAGTTATTTAATAAGGTTTAAATGACAAAACAACAAATGATAACTATAAATGATTTTATAAAAAAAACTAATTTTAACGGCTAAATGGTATATTGCTAAAATATCATATGAGGACAAATCAACGCCAGCTCAACAATCGTGCAGGCCTCAATCTGCCTCCCTTGTACCCTCATGCCTCTTCTGCCCCATAGTATGCAAGGAACTCCTCTCCACACTAACTGGCTGTATTCCCGGCCATGTGCATATGTATCCCAGCTCCTGTTCCCAGTAGCCCCTTGCAGGCTCAAAAGCCTGCAACGGGAAACCTGCTATTTCTGGTCCCTATATGATTCTACGAATCCAGGACAAATGCTGTCCTGGAGTTATGCAGCCTAGGACCAGGACTTGATGTTCCCGTTCTGGGACTGTCCTTCCCAATTAGGGACAGGTAGTCAGCCTATCTACCCCCCTCCAGCCCCATGCTCCTGAAACAGGCCCTTTGGACACAATCTAGAATGCAGGGGCTAGGGCTCCCCATGAGCCCAGAAATTTGGCAGCCGTGGAGAGCCCTGTGGACCACATGACAGTGCTGGGGTTCTGGATCTGTCCCATAGGCCAAGGGGTTGATCACCCCTGCTCTAGTTCAATGGTGCTAACCTTTTTAGCAGGTGTGCCACAAATTTAGCCCCATGTCCTCCCCGAGTACCACTCTGTCTTTCTGTGCCTAATCCATCACCACTCTGCTTTCTGCTCCCTACCCTGTACTTCCTGTTGCTCTGCTTCCTGCTCCCTCCCTGCCTGAGTTGATGCTGTACTTCCTGCCCTATTTGCTGCTGCGCTATTTGCCCCCTCCCCAGTCTGCAGCATGTCACACAGAGGCTTCCTGTGCCACTTGTATGGCGCACATGCTGCAGGTTGGCCACCCCGATCTACTTCATCAGTGAGGATAATAGTTAAATATTGTAAAGCAGTGATGGCTTGAGAATCCTTTCAGGGATGTCATGCAGTATTAGCACTTTTAGGCGTGCAGACATGATTTGTAAGATAAACCCATTGATTTCAAATAGGCATCCATAGTGTTAAAAACGTTCTGGCCTGTTGTGGTTTTTCTGAGTCCTTTGTAACAGAGAACTTGCTGTATTATTTTTCCATCTTCCCCCCGCCAAAAAAAAAAAAAAAAAGAATGAAAGCTACGGGCTGGCATTTTCCAGGGGGTATCTTGAGTCTGAAAATATTGAGAACTGCTATAAAGTTTAGGCCAGCATGTAGGCTGTATTTCATTTGTTCCAGTACTGGAGATGAAGGATCTCATTTGTGATACTTTGTCAGTAGATGTTTTATTAGGAAATGCTATACTATATTGTCACGTTTAGAGAACCGAGAGTTCCTCCTAAACTGAGCTCTGCTGTCATTGTTTCCCTCTCCCACCACCCATGGCCTTAACATCTATGTTCCAGTTGCTAAGCTGCAAGAACACTGACTTCATTGTGTGTTAAGGCTAATTAATAGAGCCTGTTGGGCTGAAACTCGAACCCTACTTTTCTCAGGGCAAGGAGAGCTATGTAATTAACCCACAGTACTCATCTGATATCGGTCAGAAGCTTTATTGAATTCAAAAATAACAGAAGGATTCACTAAATACAAAGCCATCAATCAACTTTACTGAGTCTCCCAGTATAGAAGCAGGCAGTTACAAAATCTGAGCGTATTAGCATGAATCTCACCATGTCACAGTCTGTCTAAAGCTGTTAGGAGTCACTCTCTTCAGTCAGCCACACTGAGCTTCCTGAGTTGCTCTGCTCCAATTCCAAGGGCTTGATCTTTTCTCTTGGAAATCTACATGCAGATGGTATGAATGGCGAACAACGAACAAACATCTTGTTTGCTTATTGCTAGTTAACCATTTAGTTACATCACCATCACTAATACTAGCCAAGCTTGTTATATATTTGACTTATAGATCCTAAATTTACAACAACACAGCCTTACACACCTGGAATATTTTTGTGTTATTTTCCCACACTAATTATTTCATAGATTTCATAGACATTAGGGCTGGAAGGGACCTCAGAAGATCATCAAGTCCAGCCCCCTACCCCAGGGGCAGGAAGTCAGCTGGGGTCATAGGATCCCAGCAACATAAACAGCCAATTTGTTCTTGAAGGTGTTCAATGTAGGTGCTTGAACCACCTCTGATGGCAGGCTGTTCCAGACCTTGGGGGCTTGGACAGTAAAGAAATTCTTCCTTACATCCAGCCTGAAACAGTTTTGCAGTAGTTTATAACCATTTGACATCGTCATCCCTTGGGGCACTCTGGTGAACAAATGTTCCCCCAGATCCTGGTGGTCACCTCTGATAAACTTATAGGTGGCCATCAGATCACCCCTGAGCCTGTGCTTTTCCAGGCTAAAGAACCCCATGGCTCTCAGCCTGTTGTCGTAAGGTCTGTTTTCCTGACCTCTGATCATGTGCGTGGCTCTTCTCTGGACTCTCTCAGGCTCTCTCCAGACTCTCTCAATTAGTCCCAGTGGTCACCACATTATGGTTTTATTTGTGGTTCTATTGTTCTTGAAGTTCCCTGGCATTTTACTGGATTAGCTTTAGGCCAATCATTGTGAATCATTAACTGAATCATCTCGAAAAGACTTCTGGGAGTTTGATCAACTTAACATGACCAGATTTAATTTTCCTCACAACAGAGCTGCTTAAAAACTTGTTGCCAAAATAATTTTCCCGCAGAAAATTCTGTTGGGAATAAATCAAAACATTTTATGTAAGCATATTTTAAAGATTTGCATGACATAACTGAAATTAAAAACATTTTGTGGGAACCTAATGATTTTATCTAAACTTTATATGGGAATTTTTTTGAAAACATTTCGTATCTCATCTATCACTCATTATTTTTGTTGTACTACAGCAAACTTGAAATCTACAGCAAACTAAAAAAAAAGTGTCTAAGAAGGTGGAAACAAAAAAAATCAGGGCATTTCATTTTCTGGAATTTTTAAAAATTTCAACTTCCTGTTCCAATCCAGGATGAAACAAAATGTTCAGTTTTCTGCTGTGTTCCCTGGAGTGCTGACATTAGGTGCTTTGGTTGTTGATAAAAGGCAAGAGACTATCTACAGCTTGCCCTTTTGTTGTTTACAGCCCCAGAGCACAAGAGCAAACACTGATCCCAATGCCTATCTGGTTATTTGTGACAGCACAATATAGGTTTTTAATTGTGCTGCCTGGGAAGATTCAGAAGAAAGCAGGGAGATGCCATGATGAATAGTAGCAAGTCCTGGTTTTGCTGAGTTCTCCTGTTTTCCCTCCAGTCTATTCCTCATACTTGTCTGCAGCTTACTCTCAACATACATTCTCTGTTGGTTTAATTTACATTTGTTTCTTTTACTGGGACTTAGGAACTGTACTGAACTAGTCTTTCTATGGTCCTTGAAAGTGTCAGTTTAAATCCTTCCGAAAATTACAGTTTTTGGAAGAGAGGATTTCTTACTCCCTCTGTCAGCATCTTGGAATGTTACTTGCCACTTCTTTGTTTTATTTTCACATTGTTTTATTGTCTTCACTAACAAGGCTGCTTTTGTTTTTTACAATTTATCCAAAACCTTAACACAGCTATCTCTATTGTATCAAAACTACAGCAAACACATTTGGATACATCAACCATTGCTTCTAATGTGTTTGGATTATATATTTTGAGCCTTCTTGTATGATATCTCATTTCAGGCCTTTTGCACTGTTCAGTTTGCTCTCACTACTGATTTTACTGGACACAATTGCTTTCTTTACTTTTGCTCACTAAGCTAGGTGTAAGCTCTGCCAAGGTTTACTCTGCTGTTACTTAAAAACAGGTTTTAGGGCCTTCTGCTTTAGCCACACTTTTGCAACTTGGTTTATGCCCCTTGAAAGTGGCTGAGGATGGCAACACTAGGATGTAAGAGCTACTTTGCCACTACCTTAATTAATTAGCAGGCTACTTTCATACTGGCGAGGGTGGCTGCTTACAATGCCTGTCTCACATGAGATCAGCAGTCACCACACTTTAGTATAAGAACTGGACTCTGCTAGGTGTGGAGAAGGGCATGGCCAAGATTTGTGGGAGGTGTCCTAAATCATCTTATCTGTCAAGTAGCCTCTGCTAAAAGAGTCCTAGCAGATTCTGAGTGTAATTTAAAATTGGGGAAATACTTATACAAACCCTTTCTGTACTTTTCTGGGGAGGCTAAGTGCTCCTGTGATGCAGATGTGCTTGCAAGTCTCTTCTCTTTCATAGGAGTGATGTTAAATAACTTCATGCACAGTTGATCTAGAATGGCATTCCTCAGCTATTCATTCTGTTTAGACATTCCAAAACTGCCTTGATAAATATAATTTGTCTGACTTTTTTTTACCAATGGAGAGGTTTGTTTTTTCAAGAGTTTTCTAAAGGATCTGTCTCATGTGGAGAATACTAGCTGCATGTTGGAACCCAGCTTGTCTTATATAAAAAAGATGTGAAGCAAAGCTGCCTGGGTTTTGAAGCCCTCTTAGACACTCTCCAACTTTGCATAGTTGAAGCAGGATTGAAGAATTAAGTGTATGTTCAGTAGGATTTGTGTCTGATTCTTAGCTGGTCCTTCTATTAATCTAAGTATGTACTTTGGGGCACACAGTTCATTTGAAGAATCATTGTTGTCCTCCATGTACCTGTATTTTATTATTGTTTTTAAAAAAGCCAGAATCCAGGCCTTCAGTTACAAGACAGATGAGAAAAAAAGAATTAATGAGTGACGGAACATCACAGATTTTATAACATCAAATCTGTCAAAACAGGAAACTGTTTTGAGATTTTTATGACAAAGGGTGCCATATAGAGAGGAAGCAGGAAATTTACAACATTAAAAAAAAAGGCATGAAACAGGATATGCTAATCTTGCTAGTACAAGTGCACACAATCGTGTAATCAAGATTATGGAAAAAAAATCTGTGACCAAGCTGTTTTGCTCAGACATGAGAAATAATTCTAAGAAGTCTACTTTATGAATAGTGCCCCCTTAATTCTTCTACTTAACAGAAGATGGCTGTCCACTAACAGCTTTACTGGTATATAAGAAGGTATCACAAAGTAGACACTAACCAAAAAAACAAAGGCTGTAAACGCATCCCTTTTAATTTGGTAGGTCAATATTTGCATTTAACTGATAGCTAATTAACCACTAGAGTACCACCACATCATGCTTCTGTGTGACTGGTTTATTTTGTCTTTTATTTCAGATGTCTTCAGAGCTTGACAAAAAACATTTCCAGATATGCTGCAGATATCAAGCCGTTGCCTCCCAATATAAAGGATAAACTGATTAAATTAATGAGTATTCAGGGGCAGATAACAGATTCAAATATTGGTGAGGTAAGAACATATTCAAAGCTGCATCTGTCTCTCCTCATTCATGCCTCTTTAATGTATAGTGAAGTATGAACACAATTAAACCTGCATAAACAAATTAATGTGTGACCCAAAGGTCTCTTACTGTTTAAACTTTTTCCTCCCATTTGTATTTTCAAATGTAATTTTTTCCTTATGTCCTATCATGTTATAGATTGTAAGATTATAGATCATGTCTTTTAGTATCTCTAAGGCTAGGTACAGACATTGCACATAAACCGATTTAAGTGATCAGAAACTGGTTTCAGCCTGTAACAGAACAGATGTTCAGTGCACGTAAACTAGTTTCAAAATGGCTGAAACTGATTTAAGAAAACCTGACTGAATGTAGTATCAGACTTAACTGATTTAGGTCAGACCAGTTTATGAAACCTCTATCCCAGACCCCTTCCTGGTTCAAGTTAAATCACAGTCTCCCAGCATCTCAGAATGCTTTGCAGCCCTGGGCTGGACTGTGCTGTCTGCTCCAGAGAGCAGGGCTGGCCCTGCCCATCTGCTCCCTGGCTGGAGCAGTGAGGGCTGGCTGACAAGCGGGTGGGAGTGGTAAACCTGGCTGGGGATCACAGTTGAATTTGCCTGGGAGTGGGGAAAGCCCCTGCCAGACTTTTCCCTGATGGAACAGAGGGGGTGGGGGTGTGGGCAGGCAGGCTCAGGCAGAGGGGAGGGAGTGAGGTTTAAACCCCCTCTCTCACCAGCATAGGACCCCAGCCAGGGTCTGCTTGGCAGGGGCCAGCAGGAGACCAGCAGACTCCACCCCCTCCCACCTCTGGCAGAGACTGAGGCAAGCAGTTGTTAGGAGGGGGAGGGGCCATCATTGCCTTCAGCTCCCCTATGCCATGGGGGAGGGGGAAGAGGCTGAGGAACCGGGGCTGGAGGGTCTGGTCCCCTGCCACCTGTGAGCACAGGGCCAAGCCCTGCAGGACCAGACTGGGAGGTGGTGGCAAAGACCTGGCACAATCATCACATGTATGTGCTGGAGATGAAGCTTAGGGAATAGGAGAGGGTCGCAGACTGCCTGAGGTAGTGTGACCAAAGAAAGCAAAGACCTTGTAGCAGGGCACTAGGGTGCCTGCTACTGTTAACAGTAATATGGGCTCAGCTGCCACTCACTGGGGCAGCACAGGTGTGGGTTGCTAAGACAACCGGTTGGGTCAGCTGACCAGAAGGGGGTAGGGCCTGGCCTATATAAACAGCTTAGGCTGAGGCCAAGGGGGCAGTTCCCCTCTGGCAGCCAAGGAGGGTGGAGCTCGGCTGGAGCAAGCCGGGCAGGCCTAGCGGAGAAGGCTGATGGCCTGAGTGTGGTAGGAGGATACTGGGTGGAGAAAACCCTGATGGGGATATACATGGAGGACAGCCAGGTGGCTGGGAATTTATGTTATAGCCAGGGGCTTTGTATTTTCTGTTTGTTGTTGGGTAACACCAGAGGACCGGGTGAGGCTGTAGGGGTTGGAGGAGGCCTCATGGGAGCTCCCCAGTAGTGGGGGGGTTCCTGGCACTGTAGAGGGCGCTGTGTTTTGGGGTGTCCCGACCCCGGCCCCAGTGTGGGCAGAATCGGGAGGAGCCCAGTGTGGGCGTAGGCAAAAAGCCCCAGTGGGGCGGAGGACCCAAAAAGGGGGTCTGGGGGCCAGGTAAGGCTGAGGCCGCCTGAGCCCCAATTGTGGGAAAGCCCCAGTGGGGCGTAGGACCTGGAAAAGGGGTCCTGAGGGCCAGGTAAGGCCGAGGCTGCCTGAGCCCTATCGAGCAGAGCCCCAGTGCGGGCGTGAGCGCGAGACCGGCCCCCAGTGCGGGCGAGGGCTCGGAGCAAGGCCCCAGTGCGGGCAGGGGATCACACGGGGCCCAGAGGTTCGGGTGCACTGTGTCACCGGAGGCAGGGCCCGAATTAGGACATCTTAAGGCACCATGCCAGGGAGGGATAGAAAGGCAGCCTCCCTTCAATATTACCAGCAAAGACGTGGCGGGCGAGATATCGAGGGTGCATTAAATCCCGATCTGGCACGGTCAGTTGGGGGCGCAAGGGGAGCTCACGGCACCTCAGGCCCCGTCCTGCTACAGACCTATATTTACATTATAAAACAGAACCTGTAAAAAGGTGAGAGACTGGACTACCTAAGCAGAGATGAAAGATGCTGAATGCATGAGAGTCCTGCCAAAGGTGCTGTAGGTGACAAACATACTAATGTAAAGTCACCCCACGGAGAAAACAAGGGGCAAATGCACCTGTAAAAACTCAAGTAGAGATGGGGCCTGGGGGCTCTCCACTTCAACAGCTAAGAGCATCTGATCACTCTCCAAGAAGGACTTTCTGAATACCTGGCTGTAAGGAGACGCTGCCCTCAGGGTTGTTTAAAACTTATGCAAGGCTTTCTCTTGTCTTTTTGGTTTATTACATTCCATTTTAAGTTAGACTAAGCTGTATGTGCTCTCATGGTGTTTTACTGAGCTGTATCGTAGCGTAGGGGAAGATTTTTGGTTATTCTTTCATGTGTGTTTGAGCTTGCAAACTGTTGTTCAATACATGCTCACTGTTCAAGCTTTTAGGAATTCAGTGCTGCTACCTTTTTCCCTACCCAGCCCCTCCTCAACCTAGTAAGAGCTGCTCCCCCTTCTTGAGTGGAAGGGGGGCAGAAGCCTGGGAGGTGCTGCCCTCCCCAACCCAGGCAGACCCAGAGTCCCATGTGGGCCATGGAGGGGATTTAAACCCCCACCCTCCAGCATGCTAGCCCTGAGCTGGGGCCTCGCTGCTCGATCAGGGTGGGGGGAAAAGCCTTGGCACTTCAGTCCCTTCCCTTTGCCAATGGCTAGCAGGCTAGGAGGCATGCTGTAGTACCCCCCGGTTTCTAGCCTGGGCCATTGCAGACATGTGGCTGCATTACCTGAATTTTAGGAGGGCAAATTTCAACGAGCTAAGGAGGATAG